CTAGAATCAGTAAATACAAGTCAGCCCATTCTATTGACTCTATTGTATGCAGGGTGTGTAGACATATGCCTACAAATAAATCAATGGGGGGGGGGGGGGGGGGGGGGTAGACCATTTCTGTAAGCCTGTTGGATCAACTTTTTTACCCCATCTTTCTATAATTTTTTTATTCAGTCCTTCTGAATGGCTCTCTTGTGATTTAGTTGACCTACAAACGGAAACGCCGGGGCGCTTTTATAATAGATGCGAATTTTTGTTTATTTCTTGGGGTTATTTTTGTTAAATAACAACATACCCATGAACAGTAAACATAGTGTAACTTAAGCTTAATAAAGTTATAAACATCACCACCAATCACCACCACCACCACCAACATTTTCTCAGACGTTGTAATCAAGGCACGGGACAGGGTTTGTTGTGCACGAGTTTAATGCAGAAGTGAATCACTGCAGTGTGGCCAAAGTGAGGTGCGCGCGCGCGAGATCCGGTCACATATTTAAGCGTCGTTACATGCATTGACTGCTGGCTCGTCGATTCTTCGGGAGCAAGAGCGAGAAACCCATCGATCTGCCGGTTCTCTCTTTCGGGTTAATCCAACAAACCCACTGAACTGGTTTTTAATGGGAAATTTGGCCAAAAGAGGTTCGTAGAAAATGTTACTTTTGACAGCGCGGCTACATACGGGGGGGGGGGGGGGGGTGTAAACGTAACCGGTTAAAATCGGTTACCGGTACTTTTGGGGTAGGTTTGGGTCCGAAACAGCATTTTTTTTTTACAAAAATTCCGTTCGGTTTTCAGTTTCCGTTCAAGAATAAACGAGCGGTTAACAACGGTTTCTGGATCCAGCTTTCGGTTCGGCTTGACTCTGCTCAGGAGCAATGCCTATGATGCCGTGCGGGGTCATTTGCATAAAACAACTTGAGCACAAAACTTCCCCTGACCTCCTAGTCAGTGCCAATCAAGTAAGATTTTGTTTTTTTTAAATCAACTTGTTGGATGCAACTGGCCACTGGACTGTAACAGAACGGAAAAAGCAGCGTCTGGCTTTTTGAGTTATAGGGATTTCATGGCAGGATTACGGTAAGAAACTTGGGAGGCTAGGAATGTGTACGTGGCAGGAATAGCTTTGTGGATGTAATTCGGAGATGGTCGAGATGGGTGGGTGAGACACGTGCACCAGGTTGGAGGAGGATGGCCGGTCACCGAGATGGACACTGGAATTGCACCCACAGGTTGGTAACCATGGGGAAAAGAAGACCTGAAGCCACAGATGATGATGATGATGGTGAAAATGATGGTGGTAGTGGTAATGATGATGAGACTGTATGAGCTGCCCTTAAAAGACGCGTTGAACAGCCGTGTAACAAGGAGGAAGCCACAACGCCAGCAGTGGAAAGGAAATGTCTTCGTCTTGCGTTTGCTACGTGTGCAGGACGGAGAGGGTAAAAGCAACGTGTGGGTTCATGCAGACGGCGGAGGTTGGATGACAACCGTGCAGCAGCTATGCGATCTGACAGAAGGAAGGAAGCGATGGCAAGAGGATTATGTGGCATTGGCCGTGCTGGCCTATTGAACTTCGTCTCTGTATCAATGTAAACACACGTCACGGCTTGTACTTGTTGGCGTAATACTACGAGGAATACTTCTACGGTATCATCATTTGAATAAGAATATCATTGACAAAGCGTTTCATCAGGAAACGTTAAAAATTCGGAAAGCATAAAAAAACACGTTCTCAGCAATTTCAAGCAAAAAAAACAAAACAATTTTTGTAAAAAAAAAAGTGACATTATAAAAAGGAGGAGGCTCATCAAATCGTGCTATTTCGCTATTCCGTAAAATCGTGCAGCGATTTGGGAAGATTGTTAACAGCACTGCGCTTTAATTCCAGTGAGGTCAGAGTTCAATTCCCAGCCAAAGACAACATCGGCGTCGAGTGGCACTTGAACCGATCCCGGGCCGGCTACCTGGGTGGTGGCGACACTGCACGTGGCTGTGGTGTCGACACTGCACGTGGCTGTCTTTGATCCAACTCTGTGGACTTGGTGGCTCACACCGCTGGGTTACAGGCAGTCACCCGCAGCGTACCACTGCCCGCGAAGGGCCCCGACATGGCCGTCATACAGTGAGGGAAAAAAATATTTGATCCCCTGCTGATTTTGTACGTTTGCCCACTGACAAAGAAATGATCAGTCTATAATTGTAATGGTAAGTTTATTTGAACAGTGAGAGACAGAATAACAGCAAAAAAATCCAGAAAAACGCATGTCAAAAATGTTATAAATTGATTTGCATTTTAATGAGGGAAATAAGAATTTGACCCCCTCTCAATCAGAAAGATTTCTGGCTCCCAGGTGTCTTTTATACAGGTAACGAGCTGAGATTAGGAGCACACTTTTAAAGGGAGTGCTCCTCATCTCAGCTTGTTACCTGTATAAAAGACACCTGTCCACAGAGGCAATCAATCAGATTCCAAACTCTCCACCATGGCCAAGACCAAAGAGCTCTCCAAGGATGTCAGGGACAAGATTGTAGACCTACACAAGGCTGTAATGGGCTACAAGACCATTGCCAAGCAGCTTGGTGAGAAGGTGACAACAGTTGGTGCGATTATTCGCAAATGGAAGAAACACAAAAGAACTGTCAATCTCCCTTGGCCTGGGGCTCCATGCAAGATCTCACCTCGTGGAGTTGCAATGATCATGAGAATGGGGAGGAATCAGCCCAGAACTACACGGGAGGATCTTGTCAACGATCTCAAGGCAGCTGGGACCATAGTGACCAAGAAAACAATTGGTAACACACTACGCCGTGAAGAACTGAAATCCTGCAGCGCCCGCAAGGTCCCCCTGCTCAAGAAAGCACATATACATGCCCGTCTGAAGTTTGCCAATGAACATCTGAATGATTCAGAGGACAACTGGGTGAAAGTGTTGTGGTCAGATGAGACCAAAATAGAGCTCTTTGGCATCAACTCAACTCGCCGTGTTTGGAGGAGGAGGAATGCTGCCTATGACCCCAAGAACACCATCCCCACCGTCAAACACGGAGGTGGAAACATTATGCTTTGGGGGTGTTTTTCTGCTAAGGGGACAGGACAACTTCACCGCATCAAAGGGACGATGGACGGGGCCATGTACCGTCAAATTTTGGGTGAGAACCTCCTTCCCTCAGCCAGGGCATTGAAAATAGGTCGTGGATGGGTATTCCAGCATGACAATGACCCAAAACACACTGCCAAGGCAACAAAGGAGTGTCTCAAGAAGAAGCACATTAAGGTCCTGGAGTGGCCTAGCCAGTCTCCAGACCTTAATCCCATAGAAAATCTGTGGAGGGAGCTGAAGGTTCGAGTTGCCAAACGTCAGCCTCGAAACCTTAATGACTTGGAGAAGATCTGCAAAGAGGAGTGGGACAAAATCCCTCCTGAGATGTGTGCAAACCTGGTGGTCAACTACAAGAAACGTCTGACCTCTGTGATTGCCAACAAGGATTTTGCCACCAAGTACTAAGTCATGTTTTGCAGAGGGGTCAAATACTTATTTCCCTCATTAAAATGCAAATCAATTTATAACATTTTTGACATGCGTTTTTCTGGATTTATTTTGTTGTTATTTTGTCTCTCACTGTTCAAATAAACCTACCGTTAAAATTATAGTCTGATCATTTCTTTGACAGTGGGCAAACGTACAAAATCAGCAGGGGATCAAATACTTTTTTCCCTCGCTGTAAGTCAGCCTCCCGAGCTGCCAACTCCACCGGTTAAAGAATGAGCTTTTGAGTAAAAGCTTCTCCGCAGTTACCCTGGCACACAATGACCAATGGGCTACGTCTCCATTGTGTTCCAATTCCGGTGTTCGTTTTGCACAGAGCGATAAAAAAAATATATATATATATAAATCAGCACGGTTAAAATAATATTCCGAGAGCTCAAGGTGGAGTGGGCATGCGGGGGATAGGGGGGGGGGGCTCGGCTCTGTGCACCGATTTCCGCTTGGTTCCCTCTGCGTCAATCGACAGAACCGGATGGGAGACACCGCTGCCAGTAAAAAAATGTTGTGTTACGAACGCCCGGGTACTTGGACGAGAAACACAGGAGGCTCGCGAAGGCTGTTTGGCTCCCGAGGCTCGCCCGGTATTCCCACTCATCAGCAACTTCTCGACCACATGTAGCTGTATAAACAAACCGTGCACTCGCACACGCGCGCACGCGCGTGTGCGGACTTCGTTCACAACTAAGGGGCGGTGGATATCACCACGATGCTTATGCCAGGCTAGGTGCACGAATATCGGCCACGTGAAGTGGGAAAAATGCTCGCTGGCAGAAGGCCACGGGACACACCGAGATGATGTGGGGTTACCTAAGGCCACATTTATTTAATTATTGTTTAAGTTAACCTACACTCCCCGCTGCGTTTTAGCCACCCATCACTCTGCCTGACACCTGGTACAGGTCATCGGCAAGTCCATTCAGCTCCACATCCTCCTGTTCCACATCGGCCCATCTGTTCTCGAGCCCATCCCTCACCCACTTAAGCCTCTTTATCCAGACAAACAGACACTGTATGGCCATGAGGTGGCTGGGCGCACGGGCTAACGTGACCCAGCCAACACAGCCTCGTCTGCCAGGGGAGCTCCCTGATGGGACTGTGCTCAGACGTTGCAATGAATTGTGAGCTCCTCGCACAATCCAGTCTGGTCAAACCCAGGATGGATCGCAGACATGGCCAGCCTGAATGTTTCACGTCGCCACAGATGTTCCTTCAAAGCGGTCCACATTTCGCAAGCATAAGAGAATACAGGGTACTGTCGTGGCAGAGAGGACCTGGAGCTGTATGTGGAGTAACATGCCAGGTAGCTTCCACGAGGCAATGAATAGATAAACCCCGCTCGGCTGATTTGGAGTGAGACATCCGCTACCCAACCGGTACTGGTCAGGTATGGGAATTCCTCCACCTTCTCCATAACCACCTAATTGCACCACAGGGGCGGATGGAGTCTTACATTGTTTCCAGCATAAATAAAGTCTTATTCTGATAATGGCATGAAGTACAGAGGCAGGTGGTTTTTTTTTTTGGTGCAGCTGATGATAAGACCTCCCTACACACACAAAAAGACAGGGATCCTCTGTATAGCCTTTTAACAGGCTGTTGAGGCATGTGCTATCAGCGAGCAGCTATGAGTTGGTTGTGGGTGGGCCAACACCACGCCTGCCTGCCCTTTTCTCCCGAGCGCTGATTTTTAGCGACTAAAACCGAGTCGACCCAAGGCAGGCCCAGGCCCGGTGCAAATATTCACCACTCTTATTGGTCGTGAGTGGGAATGGAGGTCGGGTCGCTGGGTTCGTAATGCAGTGCGCGCTAACCACTGCACCACCGTTCCACACTACACACAGACACAATATTGCAGGGCTACTTAAACACCAGTCCCTACAACCCACCGCAGTGTACTTCTCCAAAACTAACAAATCTTCTCCATTAAACTACCAACTAAGATGTTCGATATTACACACACCTGATGATGGGTAAACTTAAAAAATAAAAATCTGCATCCTCCCGTCTCACTCTCCTACGTCGCCACCTCTCATCACGCTCCCCTTCACAACCATCTCCTACCCCTCCTCTCATCTCCCTGCACTCCCCCTCCATACGGCATCACTTTCACGCCGTGTACGAGCGCGCGTCGTGCAAGCCAGCCACGCGTTTCACCGTCGCGCGTACGCGTCACGTGACAGCTCGCTTCGCGTCGGCACGGCAACTCCTTCGGCAACTTCTCCTGCACGGCAACCTCGCCGCATCCTGCGCTGCCCCACCCCCTCCACCCCCCCCACCCCCCGCCGGTAACACAAATCTTTTCGACAACCGCTACTGCGCTCGTTGATGATGTGCGATAACAATGACATTCGCCCCCCCCGTGTTTCAGCGTACGTTGCCCCGTCCCCGTCCCCCTCCCTGGCCGGCCGCGGTGTCACTTCCTGGCCGACGCGCCCGCCGGCGGAACGTTGTCGCGGAACTGGCCCGGGTTGACCACGTTGCCCGCCGGGAAGTATCGAGCCACCACGAACGCCGAGCCGTCGCTGGCGCGCGCCCGCCCCACGCCGAGCTTGCGGCTGCTGCGCCAAACCATGGCCGTGAAGTGGCCTGCGCCGGGTCCACGCCACGCGGCACGGGGGGAAGGGGAGGCGACATCGTCATCACCACCGTCATCGCCGTCATTATCGTCGAACAAATGATCTGCTGCTGCTGCTGCTGCGTTGGCAGTGATGCGAAAGCGCGGTTAACCAAAGGATGACACCGCGTGGCCTTGGGATAAAAAGATACGTACGGTAGCTGGCCTTTCGGGTCTTTCCTCTTCACAGCACGCAGATGCGTGCTGCGAAGAAGGGCCATTGCTCGAAACGTCGCCTGTTATATATATTTTTTTCCTTTTAAGGCCGCAGTGTTGCTATTGACGAACGTGTAGCGTTTTTTTTCGTCGTTATTATTATTAGTAGTAGTAGTACATTATTCAATATAATGCTGTATGTATTTAATAAACACAGTTGTGGAGACTCCAAGGCACCAAAATAACTTGGCACACAATACGTGCTCATCTGTTCCGTATCTGTCCTTCGACATAACAAAAACATCATTGCAGCAGCATTGCTTGAATACGAGGAACACTCTGGACCGGTTTCGACATTCAGTGTCTCATCAGCAGGGTCAGGCTCGCTTGAACCCATGCTGATGACCTGCCCCATATTTATAGATAAGGACCCCTCTCCCTGTTGAGGGAAACTGGTGGTGGAAGGGGGGGAATGGGGGGAATGGGGGGATGGGGAGCCATTGCCACCCCCACTCCCAACCACCACGTCACAGCTTCCCGTCCGTGTTCACCAATCATCAGGCTCGGGCGGTGTTGTGCAGTGGCTTCAATTGCCGCTCACCACTGCCAGAAGAGAAGCCCGGGTTGGAGAAGTTGTAGTTCTGGATTTCCGCGTACCACCTCTCCGCCACCTCCTTAGCTGCGCGTGGCACACCCAAACGTTCGCGGATGAGCACTGGCCCAAGGGCCCAAAAACCCCCGAGCAGCCAGCGACAAGCAGCACCAATCGGAAGCATCGCAGAGCGAGTGGGATCAGCGCGTTCATGAGACGGGCCGAGGTTATGACAACTTGAAAAAGAGCTTCGTGGCTCATCGGATTCCTCGGGTTCCGAATAAATATTGTGGAGTCCGAACTTGGGGGGGGGGGGGGGGGGGACGGGACACGAGCGGACGGGGAGGGAACTTGGCCACCTGGCTCATCGTAGGAGGCCCACGCGAGATTCTCCCCACACTGGCCCCTCTCCGTGTCCGAGCTGTGCTTGAGGACCCGGGTCCGCGCCAGCGACTCGGCATAGCTGAAACGACACGTCAAAACCGGCGGTGTCAGCCGGCGGCCGCGAGGAGTCCGCGGGAAGGCCCGAGGGAGCGTCGTCCGTCTCCCAGGTCGCCGATTACACCGACGCAACACGTTCCTCAAGAACGCCGTGGGCACCCCAACATCAACGTGAAAAAGACGGCGTGTTGGGGCAATGGCCCATTCTTCAAAGCAGATGCAGGTTCAATGGTGATTTGGTTAACTGGGCGAGAGTTCAGGAGGCAAGGGTAGTAACCTCATTCGCGAGAGTGACTTGGGTCGTCACCAAAACGACGAAAGAAAAAAAAATAAAACTATGACAATGAAGCGAATGTAAATCGATGCAAAAACAACCGCGTGACGGATAAGAAGGGTCATTGACCAAATCGACCCTGATTCCGTGTTTTTTTTTAATTTTCGTGCTGCATCTGTCCGTCCGTCCGTCCTTCTGTCCATTTGACCGCTTCTCTGTCTGCCCGGCGGTCTGTCGTCTGCCCGTTCCATCCGGCCATCGGTCTGTGCGGCAATTGCTCCGTCTCTCCGTCTGCCCCAGCCGTCGTTCTGTCCATCCTTATATCCGTCCACGTGACCGCTGATCCGTCCATCTATCTGCGTGTCTGTCCGTCCGTCCCCCCCCCCCACCTCCGTCTGCGTGTGCATGCACGTGCGTGCGATCGCCGCGGCCTGACCTCTGTGCTTCACGACACATCTTGGAGGAGAGCGACAGCGTGGCCACCCCGTGCGTCTTGCGGTAGTCGTTGTGTGCATTCAACAGCTCGCGTGCAAACTCCTTCGAGGCTGCGGGCAGAAGCAACGTTTCACTCGAGGTTTACTATATGCCCCATGGTGTGGGTTGCATGGCGAACAATCGCACGGCTGTGGCTTGTCTTTAATGTATATCTTTGTCTCTCTATGGGTCTCTAAGTGTTTCTATGCATATTTATGAGTCTCTGGGTTTACAATATGGCCCAAAGTGTGGGTTGCATTGCGAACAAATGCACGGCGTGTCTTTAAAATATCTCTATGTATCTCTAGGGCTTTCTATATATCTCTACGAGTCTCTGGGTTTACTATATGGCCCATTGTTGGGGTTCCATGGCCACAATCGCACCACTGCCGGTGACGTTGCTGTTCCGATGTGGCTGTTTTTCCGCTGAGCTCGTTGTTTTGACACAGAGAGGGGGCGGGGGGAGGGTGGGGGCCTGGGAATCTTTGCACGCGTGGAATGTAAGCAACCCGCCCGTGTTGGGGTTTAAAGTGCAAAACGAAAGCAAAAACAGTGGCGTCCCATTGCTCGCAAACGATTTCATGCTGCTGCTGCTGCTGCATTGGCAGCGGTGCAAAAAGACAAAACAACAAAGCAACTCGGCATGTCCGTTAGTAACAGTGTGTGTGTGTGTGTGGCCTTAGAAGGAAACAAAATGAATGCGACGTTTCAGGCAGACGGCCGATCGACATGCTCCTGGAGAAGGGCCATTGCCCCAACCCTCGCCTTCAAACTGCCGCTGCCATAGGGCAACGGCGCTGGCGAGATGTTAACTCCCTCGCCTGGTATACAGGAGGTCATGGGTTCGATTCCGACCCTGACGCTTGCAGATTTGGAGTGCGCGCGTCCCTCTCTCCCCGTGGTCGGGTGCATTTTTCACTCCACGTTTAGAATCAACATCCCGCGCTGAGAGCATTTGGCTGCCATAAGTGTCCACATGATGGGCCACTTGGTTGAGCTGTCAATTGTGGCCAGGTCACTTCTGAAAAAGAACTGCATAGCTAAGTGGGCCTTAGCTGGTAAAATAAAATACAAAGTATAGGAAAAGTACATTTGTATATTGAGCAATGTATCAGGGTCATGAGGTTTTTTTTGGGTTAGATCGCGTAAATATAAATGTGTCGTTAAACCCGCCACCACCCGACACAGCCAATTAGTAAGGTTTGTCACGTAACCAAAACATGCCAATTCCTTACTAGTTCAGCACACCGCTGTGTTGGAGAGTAAATCCACAACATTTACAATTCGAGTACGGTGATTCGCCAGTAATTACAACAACTTGTATCATTAGCCGACAGCCAGATTTGTGGATAAGTCCCGTTTAATTCTTGTATTGAGGGATAAATGCGATGTCGTCACCCGTGAGCCAATCAGTTGCAAAAGCCAGAGGGGGGGGAGGGGGTGTTAATGAATGTGTATAAATTACAATGGATATCCATTACCGGTTGGGTTATTCATAGGGTTATCAACATACATTGTGCATGCACATTGTGCTTGTACATCCCTGTTTTTTGTGTGTGCACGAAGATCGCAGTACCTTTTGATGTATGATCACAGTTAATCACTATTGACGTATGGTGGTGACCTGCATAGGCAAAAGCCTACGTGCTAAAATAAGACCTTTCGTAATCTTCTGGGTGCGGTGTTGATCAGTTTGTGATCTGAAAACGTACACCACCTCCATTCCCAATCTGCATTCAGTAATCAAGTGAATCACCATCATCAAGCGACGAATGCTGGCAAACTTTTTTCCACTGCAGCAAATGCTTTGCATGCTGGAGCCGTCCTATCTAATACAAATAACTCTTTGGGTTTGTCTAAAATAACAAAGGGCTAATCCTGTTTTGAATGTGCGTCTTCGTTTGTTGATCATTTACATCTTCAGGGCCAATCTTTAGTGACTGCGTTGTCTTTGTGTTCTCAATTAGCCTGGTGGTGGAGGTGATGTAGACGTACCTTAGTAGCAGTGGCTTACACTTTCAGTTCAGACAAACCAGAATAAATACATAAAATCGCAACGGTACATACGAAACCCGATTCAAGAGCTTATTGGCTCATAGGGTAATTCAAAATAAACGGAAATTAACTCCCTCACATCCAGCGTATAATTCACACGACGCTTCACCGAATGCGGAATCAGAGGACCACTGAGCAGGTCCACAAAACTACGAACCATGGCCCTTTGAGTACTCCGTAATCCGAGCACCGTGCAGCACCCGTATGGACCAGAACTCGACTTGTAGACGTTCCAACTCAACGCTGCGAAGCGGCGGCGGTGGTGGTACTCCTGGATCTCTCTCGAGTGACCACAGCGCCCTGGGCTCCCCGACCCTCCGGAAAGTTCCAGCGAGCCGTGGGAAAACGCGCGTCGCCCTAATCCGCCGGGATAGACTCGGCACGGTACCTCGCCGCCGCCGCCGCCGCCGCCCGAAGTTACGCGAGCGGGCGAGAGGCCGTGCGGTGCGGTTTCAAGCCAGGAACGATGGAGATTTGAGAGCCAAAATGGAGTTCAAGAGGACGTCACAAACACCTCGTGAAAGACCGAACGACGGCAGAAGATCCCTGGAATGGATCTTCCGTCGAAGGTTCTGGGTCACAACACTAAACCTCTTCCACTGCACAAACCATGGCAGCAGCAGCAGACGACGATGAACAAATGGAAAACTTAACTCTCCAGCAGGGTGCGGAAACTGTGGTCACCCAGAGGAGATCCATGGGACGTGTCATGGACTCAACGTCCGATCCACAACTACGCCACCTCCGCTACTCCTGATGCAATCGTCTGGCTCGCTGACCACCGCCGTGTAAAATCACAGCTGTTGCTTTACGCCAGTGGTCCTTCATCGCAAGGCCCGCGGGGCCACTGGCGGGCTCTGGTGGCCTTTAGTGCGGCCCCTGGTGGCCTTTAGTGCGGCCCCTGATGTGCGGCCTCCCCAACAATACGCAAAGAGTGACACCCCTCACCCCCCACCATCATCATCGTGCCTCTGTCAAACCCCAACAATGGTTCCACGTGGTGTGGCGGCCCTCACCCTCATGATGTCTTATCGGCGAAAGTGGCCTGAAGACAGACTTTTCTAGAAAGTTGCCCAAGTAACGAATCATACCCTCCAATCTACACTTTTTGGGGGGAGACGAAGACACCGCCCAAAGTAACGAAGGCCTCAATATTAACATTATCTTGTCGTGCCAGGCCGAGCCAGTGGCAGGCGTTGCCCAACCGCTGCCACTCACTCATCCGTGATGTGGCAACAATCGGCAACACCACACAGGGGCACGGAGATAACCGAGCCTCGTGAACCCAGTCAGTTGACCACGGTGGCGGGGGGGGGGGGGTTGGCGGATCACACAGAGATCATAGCTCGCTGCGAATCCCGGATTTGTCCGGCCAACGCCACCTATTTTCCCCACGGGGGGCGATAAAATGTGTAACCGATTTGCGGATGAGTGAGTCCAACACAGCTTCGACAGTGCCAAGGCGGCGTTTGGTCCAACTCTTTCGAGCAGGTTGAAGAGGTGTTAGGGGGGTGGGGGGTAGAGACGTGGGGGAGTAGAGACGTGGGGGAGTAGAGACGTGGAGGGTAGAGACGTGGGGTGGGTAGAGACGTGGGGGAGTAGAGACGTGGGGGAGTAGAGACGTGGGGAGTAGAGACGTGGGGGGTAGAGACGTGGGGGGTAGAGACGTGGGGGGTAGAGACGTGGGGGGGTAGAGACGTGGGGGGTAGGGACGTGGGGTGGGTAGAGACGTGGGGAGTAGAGACGTGGGGGGTAGAGACGTGGGGGAGTAGAGACGGGGGGGGGTAGAGACGTGGGGTGGGTAGAGACGTGGGGTGGGTAGAGACGTGGGGTGGGTAGAGACGTGGGGGGTAGAGACGGGGTGGGTAGAGACGGGGTGGGTAGAGACGTGGAGGGGGGTAGAGACGTGGAGGGGGGTAGAGACGTGGGGGGGTAGAGACGTGTAGGGGGGTAGAGACGTGGGGTGGGTAGAGACGTGGGGAGTAGAGACGTGGGGGGTAGAGACGTGGGGGGTAGAGACGTGGGGGGTAGGGACGTGGGGTGGGTAGAGACGTGGGGAGTAGAGGACGTGGGGGGTAGAGACGTGGGGGAGTAGAGACGTGGGGAGTAGAGACGTGGGGGGTAGAGACGTGGGGTGGGTAGAGACGTGGGGTGGGTAGAGACGTGGGGGGTAGAGACGGGGTGGGTAGAGACGGGGTGGGTAGAGACGGGGTGGGTAGAGACGTGGAGGGGGGTAGAGACGTGGAGGGGGGTAGAGACGTGGGGGGGGTAGAGACGTGGGGGGGGTAGAGACGTGTAGGGGGGTAGAGACGTGGGGTGGGTAGAGACGAGGGGAGTAGAGACGTGGGGGGGTAGAGACGTGGGGGGGTAGAGACGTGGGGTGGGTAGAGACGTGGGGTGGGTAGAGACGTGGGGGGTAGAGACGGGGTGGGTAGAGACGGGGTGGGTAGAGACGTGGGGGGGGGGGGTAGAGACGTGGGGTGGGTAGAGACGTGGGGTGGGTAGAGACGTGGAGGGGGGTAGAGACGTGGAGGGGGGTAGAGACGTGGGGTGGGTAGAGACGTGGGGGGTAGAGACGTGGGGGGGTAGAGACGTGGGGTGGGTAGAGACGTGGGGGGTAGAGACGTGGGGGGTAGAGACGTGGGGAGTAGAGACGTGGGGGAGTAGAGACGTGGGGTGGGTAGAGACGTGGAGTGGGTAGAGACGTGGGGTGGGTAGAGACGTGGAGGGGGGTAGAGACGTGGAGGGGGGTAGAGACATGGGGTGGGTAGAGACGTGGGGTGGGTAGAGACGTGGGGTGGGTAGAGACGTGGGGGGTAGAGACGGGGTGGGTAGAGACGTGGGGGGGGGGGGGGTAGAGACGTGGGGGGGGGGGGTAGAGACGTGGGGTGGGTAGAGACGTGGGGTGGGTAGAGACGTGGAGGGGGGTAGAGACGTGGGGTGGGTAGAGACGTGGAGGGTAGAGACGTGGGGGGTAGAGACGTGGGGTGGGTAGAGACGTGGGGGGTAGAGACGTGGGGGGTAGAGACGTGGAGGAGTAGAGACGTGGGGTGGGTAGAGACGTGGGGTGGGGTAGAGACGTGGGGTGGCTAGAGACGTGGGGTGGCTAGAGGCGTGGGGTGGCTAGAGGCGTGGGGTGGCTAGAGACGTGGGGTGGGTAGAGACGTGGGGTGGGTAGAGACGTGGGGTGGGTAGAGACGTGGGGTGGGTAGAGACGTGGGGTGGGTAGAGACGTGGGGTGGGTAGAGACGTGGGGAGTAGCCCCACGCTTTGGGCCCGCCGCACGCATGGCACAGTAGTGGAGACGGCTTCACCGCACCGCGTGACAATCGCATGAATCCCGTCTCCACTGCTGGATGGTGAACAGAGGCGCTGGACGGCGGGGAGATCGAATCGCATTCGCGACTCTGTGGATTGCAAATCCAGTGAGCTGACCATTTGCGGCAGCGACGCACTACAGTTATTTTAAAAAAAAATAATAATCATCCACCGTTTAAAAAAAAGTTTGTATTGAAATTAATTCCAGACCACGGACACGCCCACCACCTCCAAACGCCGGCTCGCCTAGATTCCTGCCGAGGGACGGCGCACCCCTCCCGGTATAAGAGACTAGGCCGCAGTGGGTAGGGGATTAACCACGGGGTGATGTGAGGACATCAAGGGTGGTGGTGGTGGAGGTATATAATATTACTGTATACAATGACATATACTTTATACTATTATATACATACACCGTAGTCAACACAGTATATATTGTACTTATACACAATGCCATCCATGCACGGTATATACTGTATACAGCACTATACTGTACACATGACAGTATATACTGTATACTTCACAGTATATACTGTATACAGCAAAGTACGCACTGTACACATTGCGGTACATCCTGTGTACAGTACAGCGTGTAATGTATACAGTACAGGATATGCTGTGCACAGTACAGTATATACTGTGTATGGCAAGTACATACTGTATACCGTGCAGCACACAGTGCAGTATATACTGTATACAGTCCATTTTTTCTGTATACAGTACAATATACTGTATACAGTGCAGTATTTGCTGTATACAGTACCTGTATACTGTATTCAATACATTATATACTGTATACAGTACAGTATATACTGGCAGTACAGTCAGGCAGTAACATACGCAACAGTACACAACACAGCGGTACACACACGGACATAACATTTATATAAAGTAATGCTTATAGCGCTCTTCACGCCTAGCGAATGCGTGGGAGTGGTGAGGGGGTGGTGAGTGGTGAGGGAGTGGTGAGGGGGTGGTGAGTGGTGAGCGAGTGAGGAGTGGTGAGTGAGGAGTGAGTAGGGAGTGAGGAGTGGTGAGTGAGTGGTGAGTGAGTAGTGGTGAGTGATTTAGTGAGTTAGTGAGTGGTGAGTGAGTGGTGAGTGAGGGGTGAGTGGTGAGTGCGTGGTGAGTGAGGAGTGAGTGAGGAGTGGTGAGTGAGGAGTGGTGAGTAAGGAGTGGTGAGTGAGTGGTGAGTGAGTGATGAGTGAGGAGTGGTGAGTGAGGAGTGGTGAGTGAGGATTGGTGAGTGGTGAGTGAGTGAGTGAGTGGTGAGTGAGGAGTGAGTAGGGAGTGAGGAATGGTGAGTGAGTAGTGAGTGAGTAGTGGTGAGTGAGGAGTGGTGAGTGAGGAGTGGTGAGTGAGGAGTGGTGAGTGAGTGGTGAGTGAGGGAGTGGTGAGTGAGTGGTGAGTGAGGAGTGGTGAGTGAGTGAGGAGTGGTGAGTGAGGAGTGGTGAGTGAGTGAAGAGTGAGGAGTGGTGAGTGAGGAGTGAGTAGGGAGTGAGGAGTGGTGAGTGAGTAGTGAGTGAGTAGTGGTGAGTGAGTGAGTGGTGAGTGAGGAGTGGTGAGTGAGTGGTGAGTGACTGAGGGAGTGGTGAGTGAGGAGTGAGTGAGTGGTGAGTGAGGAGTGAGGAGTGGTGAGTGAGGAGTGGTGAGTGAGTGAAGAGTGATGAGTGAGGAGTGGTGAGTGAGGATTGGTGAGTGAGTGGTGAGTGAGTGGTGAGTGAGTGGTGAGTGAGGAGTGGTGAGTGAGGAGTGGTGAGAGAGTGGTGAGTGAGTGGTGAGTGAGGAGTGGTGAGTGAGTGAAGAGTGATGAGTAGTGAGTGAGGAGTGGTGAGTGAGGATTGGTGAGTGAGTGGTGAGTGAGTGAGGAGTGGTGAGTGAGGAGTGGTGAGTGAGTGAGGAGTGGTGAGTGATGAGTGAGGATTGGTGAGTGAGGAGTGGTGAGTGAGTGAGGAGTGGTGAGTGAGTGAGGAGTGGCGAGTGAGAGATGAGTGAGTGAGGAGTGGTGAGTGAGGATTGGTGAGTGAGGAGTGGTGAGTGAGGAGTGGTGAGTGAGGAGTGGTGAGTGAGTGATGAGTGAGGATTGGTGAGTGAGGAGTGGTGAGTGAGGAGTGGTGAGTGAGGAGTGAGTGAGGAGTGAGGATTGGTGAGGAGTGGTGAGTGAGGAGTGGTGAGTGATGAGTGAGTGAGGAGTGGTGAGTGAGTTAGTGATGAGTGAGTGAGGAGTGGTGAGTGAGTTAGTGATGAGTGGTGAGTGAGTGGTGAGTGAGTGAGGAGTGAGTGAGGAGTGGTGAGTGAGTGAGGAGTGGTGAGTGAGTGAGGAGTGATGAGTGGTGAGCGAGAGTAAATTAAGAACTCACCCAATAATCACAGCGACTCAACGCATCCGTCTCTCACTCAAACCAACAGCAACAACCGACATTCATCACGGCGCCTGTGCCAGGCTAGGTGGACTTTGAGGCTACCGCGTGAAGTGTCGAAGGGCTCGCCAACAGGAGGTGCCATGGGTTGGCTGACTGAGATGACCGGTAGATTCACCACCAGCTGTACCCCCCTACTGTGCCAGGCTAGGTGCAGGAGGAGGTCTCGAGACAGACCATGCAGGTGCCATGGGTTGGTTGACTGAGATGACCGGTAGATGCACCACCAGCTGTACCCCCCTACTGTGCCAGGCTAGGTGCAGGAGGAGGTCACGGGACAGACCCTGTAGGTGCCATGGGTTGACCGACTAAGATGACCGGTAGATTCACCACCAGCTGTACCCCCTACTGTGCCAGGCTAGGTGCAGGAGGAGGTCTCGGGACAGACCCTGGAGGTGCCATGGGTTGGCTGACTGAGATGAGTGGTAGATGCACCACCAGCTGTAACCCCTACTGTGCCAGGCTAGGTGCAGGAGGAGGTCACGGGGCAGACCCTGCAGGTGCCATGGATCGACTGAGATGACCGGCAGATGCACCACCAGCTGTACCCCCTACTGTGCCAGGCTAGGTGCAGGAGGAGGTCACGGGACAGACCCTACAGGTGCCATGGGTCGACTGAGATGAATCTCGCTCACACTCACTCAAACTCTCTCGCTCACATGTCGTCTTCGTCGTTGCAAAGATCAAACATTCCCCTGTGCGTGCGTGTGGTGAGGATAGCACCTGGCCGCCTTTGTCTCTCCGGCGCCGACGCACGGCAAGTCCGTCGTTTCGCGCCGAGTCCTCACAAGGACGGCCCAGTCGACACGGGGATAGGCCCCGGGCATCGATTGCCAAGTCACCCCCCACAAGTCACCCCCCACAAGTCACCCCCCACAACTTCTGTTGGCCGTGGTCGGGAATCGAACTCGAGTGTCTGGGTTCGTAGTGCAGTGCGCTAACCGCTGCGCAGACGCACCCCGTCCTCGCACACACCACACACACACACCACACACGAAACACACCACACACGAAACAACACACAACACACACGCCACACACCACACACGCCACACACCACACATACAACACACACCACACACAACACACACAACACACACCACACACGAAACACACCACACACGAAACAACACACAACACACACGCCACACACCACACACCACACATACAACACACACCACACACAACACACACAACACACACGCAACACACACACGCCACACACCACACATACAACAGACGCCACACAACACACACCACACACGCACCACACACAACACACAACACAGACACGCCACACAATACACACACGCCACACACCACACAACACAGACACGCCACACAACACACAACACACACGCTACACAACACACACGCTACACAACGCACACACGCCGCATAACACACACACGCCAAACAACACAGACACGCCACACAACACACACGCCACACAACACACACGCCACACAACGCACAACACACACGCTACACAACACAGACACGCCACACAATACACACGCTACACGACACACACGCCACAGACACGCCACACAACACAAACGCCGCACACAACACACGCCACACACACCCACCCACTCTCACTCACTGCACACACACGCCACACAACACACTCACCGCACACAACACACGCCACACACACCCACTCACTCACCCACTCTCACTCACCGCACACACACGCCACACAACACACACAACACGCACACCACACACACCACAGACACGCCACACAACACACTCACCGCACACAACACACGCCACACACACCCACCCATTCACCCACTCTCACTCACCAGACTTCCCCATGGCGACACGGGTCGGAGTCAAACTTCACCGAATGACTCGGAAGAGAGAGAGCGAGAGCGAGCTGGATCGTGACGCAGCCTCTGTGTCTCTCTCTTTACCACTCCGCCTCCCTTCTGTATCTGTCTGGCACGTAGCTCTTGAGTATCTCTGTCCGTCTTTGTCTTTCTGGGTCGCTGTCTGTGTGTCGTTATAAGCCCGCGTCTTTCTGTCTGCCCGTGTCACTTCCTCTGCGTCTCCGTTCGTATCTCGAATTCTCTGCGCGTCTGTGGATTTTTTCTTGTTTTTCCTATTGCTGTGTGTGTGTCTCTGTGTGTCTCTGTGGGGGTGTGTCTCTGTGTCTATGTGGGGGTGTGTCTCCGTTTGTCTCTGTGGGGGTGTGTCTCTGTGTCTATGTGTCTCTCCGTGTGTCTCTGTGGGGGTGTGTCTATGTGGGGGTGTGTCTCTGTGTCTATGTGGGAGTGTGTCTCTGTGTCTATGTGGGGTGTGTCTCTGTGTATATGTGGGAGTGTGTCTCTGTGTCTGTGGGGTGTGTCTATGTGGGGGTGTGTCTATGTGGGGGTGTGTCTCTTTGTCTATGTGGGGGTGTGTCTCTGTGTCTATGTGGGGGTGTGTCTCTGTGTCTATGTGGGGGTGTGTCTATGTGGGGCTGTGTCTCTGTGTCTATGTGGGGGTGTGTCTCTGTGGGGGTGTGTCTCTGTGTCTATGTGGGGTGTGTCTCTGTGTCTATGTGGGGGTGTGTCTATGTGGGGCTGTGTCTCTGTATCAATGGGGGGGTGTGTCTCTGTGGGGGTGTGTCTCTGTGTCTATGTGGGGGTGTGTCTCTGTGTCTATGTGGGGGTGTGTCTCTGTGTCTGTGTGGGGGTGTGTCTCTGTGTCTATGTGGGGTGTGTCTCTGTGTCTATGTGGGGGTGTGTCTCTGTGTCTATGTGGGGGTGTGTCTCTGTGTCTGTGTGGGGGTGTGTCTCTGTGTCTATGTGGGGTGTGTCTCTGTGTCTATGTGGGGTGTGTCTCTGTGTCTATGTGGGGGTGTGTCTCTGTGTCTATGTGGGGTGTGTCTCTGTGTCTATGTGGGGGTGTGTCTCTGTGTCTGTGGGGGTGTGTCTCTGTGTCTATGTGGGGTGTGTCTATGTGGGGGTGTATCTATGTGGGGGCGTGTCTCTGTGTCTCTGTGGGGGTGTGTCTCTGTGTCTATGTGGGAGTGTGTCTCTGTGTCTGTGTGGGGGTGAGTCTCTGTGTCTCTGTGGGGGTGTGTCTATGTGGGGTGTGTCTCGCAGCTGTTCTCCATCCGTGGCGAGAGAGGCAGTGGAACTCGCCTCTTGAGTTTCGAGTTAAGTTGCACGAAGCTCTCCGCCCACTTCGCCAACTGCTCCCGACCCGCACACTCTCTCCCTCTTCTCTCTCCCCAACTCTCCCCCCAACTCTCTCCCCAAATCTCTCCCCCCAACTCTCTCCCCAACTCTCTCCCCAACAACTCTCTCCCCCCAACTCTCTCCCCAACTCTTTCCCCTTCTCTCTCCCCAACTCTCCCCCCAAGTCTCTCTCCCCAACTCTCCCCCCAACTCTCCCCCCAACTCTCTCCCCAACTCTCTCCCCCCAACCCTCTCCCCAACTCTTTCCCCTTCTCTCTCCCCAACTCTCCCCCCAAGTCTCTCTCCCCAACTCTCCCCCCTTCTCTCTCCCCCCAACTCTTTCCCCAACTCTCCCCCCTTCTCTCTCCCCTTCTCTCTCCCCAACTCTCTTCCCAACTCTCTCCCCAACTCTCCCCCCTTCTCTCTCCCCTTCTCTCTCCCCAACTCTCTTCCCAACTCTCTCCTCTTCTCTCTCCCCAACTCTCTCCCCTTCTCTCTCCCCAACTCTCTCCCCAACTCTCCCCCCTTCTCTCTCCCCTTCTCTCTCCCCAACTCTCTCCCCTTCTCTCTCCCCAACTCTCTCCCCTTGCTCTCTCCTCAACTCTCTCCCCAACTCTCCCCCCTTCTCTCTCCCCTTCTCTCTCCCCAACTCTCTCCCCTTCTCTCTCCCCAACTCTCTCCCCTTCTCTCTCCCCAACTCTCCCACTCTCTCCCCAACTCTCCCACTCTCTCCCCAACTCTCTCCTCTTCTCTCCCCCCTTCTCTCTCCCCAACTCTCTCCCCTTCTCTCCCCCCAATTCTCCCACTCTCTCCCCAACTCTCCCACTCTCTCCCCTGCTGCCTCCACGCCCACCCCACCCCCATATCGAGAGTCATCCCATATCAGCACACTCGTCATACCAGCCATCAACGACGCACACCACCCCATACAGCACATCTCCCATACACCATACTCCGCACACCACAAAGATCCCCTGTGTAGCCTTCACAGACCGCCGGGGCAAGTGCTGCTAGCGAGTAGCACCTATGGAGGCTGGCACGGCACACGGGGGGGGGGGGGGGGGGGTGGGTGGCCAGCACCACGCCCGGCCGCCTTTGTCTCCCCAGTGACGATGTCTGCACATCGCACCGGGTACTCGTTTGAGGCCGAGTCGACCTCGAGGAGGCCCAGGACCGGTTCAGATCATCGTCACATGTGTTGGTGGGGAGGGGGGAAATGAGGGAGATGGGGAGAGAGATGGGGAGGGAGGGAGATGTGGAGGGGGGAGATGGGGAGGGAGATGGGGAGGAGGGAGATGAAGGGGTATATGGGGAGGGAGGAAGATGAGGAGGGAGCTGTGGAGGGAGGGAGATGAGGAGGGGGGGAGATGTGGAGGGAGGGAGATGTGGAAGGAGGGAGATGGGGAGGGGGGAGATGTGGAGGGAGGGAGATGGGGAGGGAGGAAGATGGGGAGGAGGGAGATGAAGGGGTATATGGGGAGGGAGGAAGATGAGGAGGGAGCTGTGGAGGGAGGGAGATGAGGAGGGGGGGAGATGTGGAGGGAGGGACCTGTGGAGTGACTTTGAGAGGAGGGAGAGCAAGATGGATGCGGGGGGGGGGATTTGAGGATAAAGAGGAGGAAGGAAGAGGGAGAGAGGCGACATGGGATGGGTGAGGTGGGAGTGGTGGGTGTAGGGATGCAGAAGGGGAGTGTGGGATGGAGGAGATGAGGAAGGGATGGAGGGGGAGGGTGAAGGATGAATAGGGGGAGGGAGTGGGGCACGTTAGGGGAATTCCCACGTGTGTCTATACACATTAGGAATGTAGCGAATCATCAATTGTTCCACACAATCAGTTCCAACACTACGATTGCACTTCGAAGTATTTAATGCAGCACTCTCGATTCTCATTATCGATTCTATAGCTTCACGTACGCTACATCTACCACGGGGGGGGTGGGGGATGAAATCGTTTGGTGGCGATTCTAGAGGAGAATGAATCGGCGGTTGGAATCGGATCGTTACAACTCCGTTGCAATGCGTTGACAAAGAGCCGTGACGTCACCCCACGTGTTTTCGTGCCAATTCGGGGGAAAATTGTAGCGCGTTTCATCCAGCGGTGGATTGCTCACGGCTCCTTTGCTGCCACCACTGACGGTGATTATTGATGATAGTCATTTAACCCCGGCAAAGGGCCTCACTGATTGGCTGCCCACTCTGACCCCGACGGTCTGGAATAATCATACGCGAAGGAGTCGTCCATAAATGACGTCACGCGATTTTGGACGATTTTTGAACCCCCCCCCCCCTTCTTCACACGGCGTCACAAAAAGTCAGACCCCCCCCCCTCAAATATGACGTCAAAAAGCTCTGCCCCCCCCCCCCCCCCCAAAATACAACATGCTTCAAATCGCTTTAAACTATTGTCATTTTAGTGCGTATTTAATGTGACGCCGCACTTCTGATATTGTAGGAGAAAACATTAAATAAAAAGTCTATTTGATTAAGTAGAACGTGTTGTCTATATTTATTTAAAGTTGCGCATTTTGATGTGACGTCATATTTCTCAACCTCACCCGCCACCCCCCACCTCGTCACAAATGTCTGGCCCCCGAAGCGGGCAGCAGAGGAACGCTTCACGGTGGCCGCGTCTCGCGACGAGACGCAGTCGTGAAATCAGACGGATTCGCGGTGTCCAGCCACCGTGACGGGGCCTCGTGTAAGAGCCAGCCGGGTCGAGCAAACTTTTCGAGGGTCCCTTTGGCTTTTGGTGTAATTTGCCCAAGTCACAGCAACACCCACTCAGAAGAATCAGAATATTGATTTGCGGCCGGAGGAATCCGATGAGCCATGAAGCTCTTTTTCACAAGATGTCCGGTAGTGGCACGAGGTAAGAACGTTACCAGCGGCAATCATCGCCTCCTACTGCTGGCAGACTGATAACCCCGCTCGCAGGCCCAGGTGCTTAGGGGCCGTCCATAAATGACGTCACGCACCTGGGGGGGGGGGGGTGGAGGGTCAGACATTTGTGACGATGTGTGACGAGGGGGGGGAGAGGTTTGAGAAATGTGACGTCAGATCAAAATGCGCAACTTTACATAAATATAGACAACACGTTCTACTTAATTAAATAGACTTTTTAATAAATGTTTTCTCCTACAACATCAGAGTGCAGCACCACATGAAATACACACTACAATGACAATAGTTTAAAGCGATTTGAAGCATGTTTTATGATTTTGGGGGAGGGGGGGAGGGCAGAGCTTTGTGACGTCATATTTGAGGGGGGGGGGTCTGTCTGACTTTTTGTGACGAGGGCGGGGGGGGGGTCAAAAAACGTCCAAAATCGCGTGACGTCATTTATGGACGGCCCCTTAGTCACCTTGCGCCGCACAGGGACAGCTGCCAGTGGGGGGGGGGGGGGGGGGGGGGTGCCCCTTTCAAATGTTGAAATGATGCGATGTGAGCTGCACGTCTTTCCGAGATGGTCCTGGCGAATCGGAGGGCCCCCCGCGATAAATGCTTTGAAGCTATCAATTCCGGCTCAGTGATTCTGCACTTGCTCTATTACTATAGTACTATACCGCCTTCGACTTTTACGAACGACCGGGTGTTTTAAATTGAGAGATTTGTCGTATTATCTGGCTGTATAGCAAATTAAAAAAATAGAATTACTTTACTGAGCAAGTAAAAAACAATTGTGTTTTCAGATTCACGTTAATTTTTTTTATTTCGGACCCCTTTCCAACATCGCATGCTACAGGCCCGGCACTTAGCTTAGTCTGGCACTGACCTCGGGGGCTCGCGGAGCCAGACTCCATCTCAAGTGGGCCCGAGACGGTCTGAGGGTGGGGAGACGGGGGGAGAGGACGGGGAGACGGGGGGGGGGGGAGACGGGGGGGAGGAGGGGGGGACGGGGGGGGAGGAGGGGGGGACGGGGGAGAGGAGGGGGAGACGGTGGGGGAGACTGGGGGGAGACGGGGGGAGGAAGGGGGAGACGGTGGGGGAGACGGGGGGGAGAGGGCTGGAGACGGTGGGGGAGACGGGGGGAGAGGAGAGGGAGACGGGGGGGGG